AGGGGAGGGGAGGGGAGGGGAAAAGAGAGGGGAGGAGAGGGGGGGGGGGGGGGTTTGTAGGAGTAGAAGCCCACACATCTTAAAGTTGCCAAGGTTGAGAAACACTGCTCTAGTGCGACTGGCGGTGTGTCTTATAGGGAGAGTCCCTCAGGTTGAACTTGATTTTGGTGACTGCATAGACCTTTATTGGTAGCAATATGGAACTGGTTTGCTGTCACTTGCTTCATCTTCTTCTCCCTCCTCCTCTTTCTTCTTCTCCTTCCTCTTCATCTCCCCCTCCTTCTCCTCCTCCCTCTTCTTCTCCTTCATCTCCTCCTCCTCCTCCTTCTTCCTTCCTGGCCTAACTTATAGGTCTGCTCTTCCTGGTGGTCTCCCATCCCATTAGTAACAGATCAACTTTTGCTGAGATTCGAAAATTAAAAACAAAAACCCTAATTCTAAATATAGTGCATCACGCACACACCCTTTCCTTTTCCCAGGCTGGTGTTGCTTGTGCGAGAGATATGAATCGTGTAACGTGGCTTTTTAAAAATCCATGCTCATAAATAGCTTCAGGATTGCATCAGCCACTTAACCTGGGCCAGCATTTCCTCTCTTGAGCAATGTGAAATCAGCACCTGTTCATGCAGAGAAAGGCTGCATGTCACACAAGGATGCAAATTACAGGCTGCAATTCGAGATGTGGATAGCTGTCTCCAGGCGAATTTGTTCCCAAACCCATAGCAATTACACCTATAGGGCCTAGAGATACTTCTAAACAACACGTAGCTGGGCTTCATTTCTGCAAATCTTGTTGTTGCAAAAAGTCACTGCTTTTCGGTAATGCCAGCAGCTTACTGGAGAAGAACATTTCTGAAAACCAGCAGAACTATTATGCTGCTAGAGAGGATGGCTGCAGGACTCTCCATTCCTGCATCCTGAGTAGATGATGCTGGTGTAATGTCACCCTCTTGGACACATCCTCCATCCTTCCCAGGTTGCACTTTTTTGAACAACCGATAATTCCCCCATTCTCTCCTTTTATTTTCCTGGAAATGCTGTGGTTGTGTGCTGCAATTTTATTCTGGAAAACATGGAAGTCAGATTGTTTTAGTAGAGGAGGAGACAGCAAGACAATGCGAGGGAGCAAGAGGACCAGCTGCGAGGGACAGATCCCGTTCCTGCTGATTTGGCATAATCCTTTCTCTTTCTCCCTTTTTTTCTTCTCCAGAAGCTAAAGCTAACGTAAGCTCTTCTTTCTTGTGTTCATTTGCAACCCAAAATTGGGCCTCCAGCAAAGAAAAATGCTGCAGAAATCGATGCTTGCAAAAAAAGGAGGGAGGGAGGGAGGGAGGGAGGGAGGTCACAGTTCAGAGGTTTGCACCTTGTGTTGGTGTTCAAAACACACTTGTTATTGTGATCCGTGGCACAAACTTTCTGGGCAGCAATTTGTTTTGAAAGCTGCCACTTCCATGGTGCCCAATTCAAAAAAAACTTCCTGGATCCAACCCTAGAAAAATCCATTGTGCCCTGCAGCTCACCGATCTCTGTTTGATTCCTTGCAATCATAAGCAGGAGATACGTTATTCTTCTCATCCCAGGTTAACTTAGCAGCATTCCCAATGTTTTCCTTCATGGAGCTCTCCACTCGGTCATCCCGGAAAGCTTTTGAGGCTCTCAGTGCCCACTGTCTCCATGGGCACCTGGGAC